GGCCGTGCCCATGGCCATGGATGTGTGCCACGACCCCCATGTCTCCTGTACAGAGGAAGGGGTGAGGTGGAGGTGGGCTGGGCCTACCCTTTCGCTAGATGGGCCATAGAGCCAGTAGATTAGGTCCTCTTCTTCCCGTCTCTCTTTTCTCTTTTCTTTACATTTCGACCACAATTTTCTATTTAGCTGCTAGCAAATGGATCTAGTTAATCCTGAAATTTAGCACAAAATTCAAGCACAATATTTTGGAGTGGCACATAAAGTTTTGAGTCATTTGGAAACTTATAATTATTTGTTTATTTCGAAATGGTTACGTTTGTTGTAGATGGACCACTTTATACTTTACTAGAGATTAATCGGAGAGCCAAATGATATTGGATTCAACATGACAAATGATCAGGGGGAATTGTACTAAAATTTGAACATTTTAATTTTATAATTTGAAGAAATAATAACTTGACTTGTTATTTGAATTTTGAATTTGACTCCGATTTTTTATCAACTGCCAAATTGGCTTAATAAAATATGTTGACATGGCAAAATAGGGTGAGGTTATTGTAGCTAAATTATCGGGGTGTTACATGCCATAATAGGTAGGTATGGTGGCTGTTTTGAGAAAGGTATATGGTGGGTTTATGATACCGGCAAAAGTTGCGTGGTACTAGAGAGGCTAGCAAATGTGGAAGGGTGAGAGTGTGTATAATCCATGGACTCAACATTAGTCATAAAGAACTCACATACTTATTGCAAAAATCTATTAGTTATCGAAACAAAGTACTACGCGCATGCTCCTAGGGGGATAGATTGGTAGGAAAAGACCATCGCTCATCCCCGACCGCCACTCATAAGGAAGACAATCAATAAATAAATCATGCTCCGACTTCATCACATAACGGTTCACCATACGTGCATGCTACGGGAATCACAAACTTTAACACAAGTATCTCTCAAATTCACAACTACTCAACTAGCATGACTCTAATAGCACCATCTTCATATCTCAAAACAATCATCAAGTGTCAAACTTCTCATAGTATTCAACGCACTTTATATGAAAGTTTTTATTATACCCATGTTGGATGCCCATCATAATAAATTGCTGGACGTGAGGAATTTATCTATTAATCATCTTCAAGCAGAATTAACTAAATAGCACTCTCCAGTAAAAAATGACAGCAAATCTCGTGAGCGCTAAAGTTTCTGTTTTTTACTGCAAGATCGCAAAGACTTTCCCCAAGTCTTCCCAAAGGTTCTACTTGGCACAAACACTAATTAAAAGCATAAAACCACATCTAAACAGAGCCTATATGAATTATTTATTACTAAACAGAATCAAAAAGCAAGAAACAAAAATAAAATTGGGTTGCCTCCCAACAAGCGCTATCGTTTAACGCCCCTAGCTAGGCATAAAAGCAAGGATAGATCTAGGTATTGCCATCTTTCGTAGGCAATCCATAAGTGGCTCTCATAATAGATTCATAAGGTAATTTAATTTTCTTTCTAGGAAAGTGTTCCATGCCCTTTGTCGGTGTCAAAACCGGCGGATCTCGGGTAGGGGGTCCCGAACTGTGCGTCTAAGGCAGATGGTAACAGGAGGCAGGGGACACAATGTTTTACCCAGGTCCGGACCCTCTTGATGGAGGTAAAACCCTTGGTCCTGCTTGATTATTCTTGATAATATGAGTAGTACAAGAGTTGATATACCACGAGATCGGAGAGGCTAAACCCTAGAAGCTAGCCTATGGTATGATTGTATGTTGTCCTACGGACTAACACCCTCCGGTTTATATAAACATCGGAGGGGGCTAGGGTTACACAAGGTCGGTTACAAAGGAGGAGATATACATATCCGTATTTCCTAGCTTGCCTTCCATGCCAAGTAGAGTCCCATCCGGACACGGGACGAAGTCTTCAATCTTGTATCTTCATAGTCCAACAGTCCGGCCAAAGGATATAGTCCGGCTGTCCGGACACCCCCTTATCCAGGACTCCCTCAGTAGCCCCTGAACCAGGCTTCAATGACGATGAGTCCGACGCGCAGTGTTGTCTTCGGCATTGCAAGGCGGGTTCCTCCTCCGAATACACCATAGAAGAGTTTGAATACAAGGATAGTGTCCGACCCTGCAAAATAAGTTCCACATACCACCGTAGAGAGAATAACATTTCCACAAATCCAATCTGCTGACACGTTTTGGTAGCATGACATCATGCCATGGCCCGGTAATTATTAGAACCGTTTTTCCGTAATCAGCCCCGCACATAACGCGAGGCGGTTTCTTGACACGTATTGTCAAAGCAGAGATCGTGTTCCCCTTATTACAGGATTCTCATCAATACGGACGTGGGTAACCCAACCGTGCCTAGGACTCCTAGATTTTAGGCAAGTCCCAAACGGCCACAAGGAGGACGCTTGATATTCACCCTCTTTATAAAGGGAAAAGGCTTTTATTTCTTCCCTCCCGTGCTGAATCGAATCCTTCCCCCGCCACGAGTTCTAACACCCAAAGCCCAGGTCAGGTGTTTCGGACCTTCAATCATGTCCGGATCCAGCCTTCAAGGCCGGTGGATGCCTTCCTTCGTCATGGAGGAGGATATCAAGAAGTTGAGGGAGGCCAGATACCTGACCGCCGAAATTTCGCATAGGCTGTCCGCCAGAGGGCAGGTCATCCCTACTCCCGAACCAAACGAGAGAGTTGTGTTCGTCTCCCACTTCCTCCGAGGACTAGGCCTCTAACGCCCTCGATGCGGCTATATCTCCCACGTGTCGAAGCACGACTTAGAGGCATAACCGCATTGAAAGCAATGTCGCAAGTGAGGTAATCTTCACAACAACCCATGTAAAAAATAAGGGGAAAAGATACATAGTTGGCTTACAATCGCCACTTCACACAATACATGAATAAAGCATTACATCATCCAAATACAATCAAGGTCTGACTACGGAACCAAAATAAAAGAAGACTACCCCAAATGCTACACAGATCCCCGATCGTCCCAACTGGGCTCCACTACTGATCAACTGAAACGAAACAACACTACGAACAAGGTCTTCATCAAACTCCTCCTTGAGCTCGGTTGCATCACTCGCACGGTTACATCGGCACCTGCAAACTGGTTTTGGAAGTATCTGTGAGTCACGGGGACTCAGCAATCTCACACCCTCGCGATCAAGACTATTTAATCTTATAGGTAGGGTAAAAAGGTATGAGGTGGAGCTGCAGCAAGCGACTAGCATATTTGGTGGCTAACATATGCAAATGAGAGCGAGAAGAGAAGGCAAAAGCACGGTCGAACAACTATGATCAAGAAGTGATCCTAGAACAACCTACGCCAAGCATAACTCCAACACCGTGTTCACTCCCCGAACTCCACCGAGAAGAGACCATCACGGTTACACACGTGGTTGGTGCATTTTAATTAAGATAAACTTCAGGTTTTCTACAACCGGACATTAACAAATTCCCATCTGCCCATAACCGCAGGCACGGCTTTCGAAAGTTCAAATCCCTGCAGGGGTGTCCCAACTTAGCCCATCACAAGCTCTCACAGTCAACGAAGGATATTCCTTCTCCCAAGACAATCCGATCAGACTCGGCATCCCAGTTACAAGACATCCTCGACAATGGTAAAACAAGTCCAGCAAGACCACCCGCTGTGCCGACAAATCCCGATAGGAGCTGCACATATCTCGTTCTCAGGGCACACCGGATAAGCTAAACGTACAGGAGCCGACGTAACACAAGTTGCCAAGGGATGGCCCTGCACGGTGCTCTAGTTTGGACCAACACTTAGAGAAGCACTGGCCCGGGGGTTTAAATAAAGATGACCCTTGGGCAGGCCTACCCAAGGGAAACAAAAGGCTAGGTGGAAAATGGTAAAACCAATGTTGGGCCTTGCTGGAGGAGTTTTATTCAAAGCAAACTGTCAAGGGGTTCCCATTATAACCCAACCGTGTAAGGAACGCAAAATCCGGGAACATAACACCGATATGACGGAAACTAGGGCGGCAAGAGTGGAACAAAACACCAGGCATAAGGCCGAGCCTTCCACCCTTTACCAAGTATATAGATGCATTAATTAAATAAGAGATATTGTGATATCCCAACAAAATATCCATATTCCAAACAAGGAACAAACTCCAATCTTCACCTGCAACTAACAACGCTATAAGAGGGGCTGAGCAAGGCGGTAACATAGCCAAACAACGGTTTGCTAGGACAAGGTGGGTTCGAGGCTTGGCTTAACAATATGGGAGGCATGATAAGCAAGTGGTAGGTATCGCAGCATAGGCATAGCAAAAGAGCGAGTATCTAGCAAGCAAAGATAGAAGTGATTTCGACGGTATGGTCATCTTGCCTGAGATCCCGCAAGGAAGAACAAATCCATGAAGGAGACAAGCGGGCGTAGTCGAACGGATCCTCACAACTCCGAAACGATACCGAAGCTAACGCGAGAAGTAACCCGGAAAGAAGCAAACAACATAGTAAACAACCATCACATAATCATGGCATGATGCGCAAACAAGTATGATGCATATCCGGTTTAAATATGCATGGCATGGCAAAGTGCACAAACAAAACTACAATTTAAGTGGAGCCCAATATGCAACGAGTTGCATATTGATGAAACACCACATGGCTTATTTAGTTCTCTCTTGTTTATGTACCCAACAATATTAAATGTTGTTAAGCATGGCAAGAGGTGGAGCATAAGTAACTAAACATTTAGGCAAGTTTAAATGATGCCGGAAATAACAAACAACAATTCCGGTAAAACCCCATATGCATTTAGCAATTTAATGCAAACAATAATTTTAACATTTTAAATGTTATTATCATGATGCGGATGACATGTGCAAGTTTTATGCTATTTTTGTTAAAAGTTGACATGAACATGATAGGAAGCATTTGGTCACCATGGCGGAACTGAAGGGTGCCACGGTAACATATCGGTATCGGTAACTCGATTGAGATACCGATGCAAAAGAGAAGGATGCGGACATGTGGAACACGCAAGAGATGGTGGGGTGCTCCCGGATTCCGGGTGTCCCACGAGTTAGTGGCATGGAAACGAGTGACAAAACAGACACAGTGCAGACAAAGGGTGCATCTCATCCAACATGCATTCATTCGTTCACGGGCATCGTCTCGGGGTTATACCTTCGAGGTGAGACTTTTCGGAACGGAACAAGTTCGTAGCGGAAGTAGATGGTCTCGCCATGTTCGTAGTGGTAGTAGTTGTACTGATGCCGTAGTGGAAGTAGTGGTTCACGTAGATGGTAGTGGCACATAGCAATCGTGGATGAACTTGGAGGGTCATCGTTAGTCGTTCACGGGTCTTCGGTGATGGTTGTGGTACACATTCTGTAGAAGTACGGGCGGCAGTAGTGGTACATGTCTATCGTTGCACGGGTTTCCGTAGATGTTCGGGGTCACGGCGAGGAACTTGATGCATCATTGAACTTGGCGTCCGAGGAATCCCGCGTAGCTGTACACGAGTCGTAGTCGAACTTGACGGTTCCGTTACACGGTTCTTTGGCGACGATAATGATGTACAGGTCTTTTGGCCCTAATAGTCGTACACACATCCGAAGAGGAACTCGGCGTTCCTATGCGGTGTAGGGGTACATGCCGATGGTCGTCGTGGTACTTGGCGTTTCATCGTGTAGCCGTACATGTTCGACGTGGTACACGGTTCGAAGTCGTGCATGTCCCGTAGATATTCAGGGTCACTGTGAGGAACTTGTCGAATCCAGGGTCTCAGTCGTTGATAGTGGTACACGTGTTCTTGGTACTTGGCGTAGCGTTACAAGATCGGTCTCGCCGGTCTCGGTCTCGGCAGCGTAGTTATACAAGCGCGACATCGGACTTGTTGAACCCAAACTCTTCGAGGGGGCGTCGCGGTACTTGGCGAATGCGTAGTCGTGCACGTTCCAACATCAAACTTGGAGGGACACCGACAGCGTGGTACTTGGCGAATCCTGGTCTGTCTTGGCGGTTTTTGGTGGAGGCATTTGTTCGTTTGACCAAGGGAAACAGCGGCAGCGGCAGGCATCGCAGGAGCTAACGGGCCGCTGCGTGTCTTTAGGAGCGAAGCAGGGGTGCAGGCGCGCGTGGAGAGGAGCCCGGCAGCGTTGCAGCAAGAGGACGGTGGCTTCGTCCTGCGGGCATCCATGCTGACGCAAGCAACCAGGTTGCAGCAATGCGGTGCCGGAGCATGGCGCAGGGCCCGTGGCCGCTGGAGGCGACGCCGGTCATCGGACGACGAGGCAGGGCAAAGGAGCACAAGGAGGCGACCCCATGGACTGGGCGAGGCGGCAGGGAACCGATTCGGTCCGGCCGGAGTTGAGGCAGAGGAGCAGCGGAAGGAGACTCGGTCGGCGCGGCGGCAGGCTTGGGCTCGCCGGCCGGCAGGGCGCCATGGTGAGGAGGCGGCGATGCGAGGCGCTGCTCTTGGCGTGGAGTGGTCGGGATCGAACTCCTCTCTCCCTAGAGCAGGGTCGCAGGCGCGGGATGGAGGTGGACGCCCGACGGGGATGGCGGCTTGGGCCTCCATGGTGGTGCAACGCGAGGAAGGAGAAGCCGAGGCGACGATGGTGCCATGGGGACGAAGCAGGAGGGAAGAAGAGGGAGGTGCGGTGCTGCTCTCTCTCCCTCTCTAGAGGCGCATCGAGGGAGGAGGGGATCGAGCATGGGGCGCGGGTGAGAATCGGCGGGCAACAGGGGAGAGATGGGAGGATCGAGTGATCGGCACTCCCCTGGCAGTGCGATCGGGAGGAGGACGAGGGAGGTTGGCGGCGCTGAATGTGTGCGGTGCTGCGGGAGGGAGGAGAACGGGAGATGGGGATCGGGCCAGGGAGAGGGTTAGGGTTAGGAGGGGAGGAACTGGGCCTTGGAGGCCGGCCCAGGGAGGGGAAGTGGCCAGAGGCCTGCTGGCTGGATGGGCCTCGCTGGAGCCCAGTTCGGCTGGGCTCTCTCTACTCTCTTCTCTTAGCCAAATAGAGAAGAGAAAAATTAGATAGAAGAAGAAATAAATAAAATAGAAAGAGAGGGTTAGGGATGGAATATCTCAGAAAATAAAATATTCTTGGAGCGCTGGAAATTGCACAAATAGAATTAAATGGTTTGGCAATTTTTTGAGATTGAAAAATAATTCAAGTTTGAATTTAATTCAAACTTGAGCCATTTTTGAACCCAACCAGACCAAACGCAAAAGAGCTGAAATTTGACAGGGAGGGTGTAGGCATGGTATAAGATTAATAGGGAAAGAATGAACATTTATATGTGACAGAAAAATGTCACTTGCAACGAATGGGTAAATTTGAAGGAAAGAAGCTGGTGATTGGTTTTCAACTAGAAGAGGATTTGGTGGCAAGAGAGAAAGATGCAAGCGTGTTTTTGGTCGATTCCATAAGGATGGAATATTTCATAATAGCTCCCTAATATTTGGAGGATATGTTGTAAAGAGAATCACCACGTGAGTTCCCTCGGTTTAAATGGAACGAAGATCCATGCAATTTATTTAAGAGAGTTTTAGTTAGTCTTGAGAAAAAGATGGCATGATGACATGATGCAATGCAAAAACGCAACGAACCAAACAAATCACACAACGAAAACCCGGAAATCATGGAAGGCATCTGAAGCTCCGGTCTTGGGGCGTCACAACACTCCACCACTACGAGAGGATCTCGTCCCGAGATCTAGGATGACACCGGAGAGAAAACGGAAGAGAAAAGAGAAGAGGTAAAACTAAGTTGCTTCTTTGACAAACGGGTGAAACCAAAGAACCTTTAGATGTTGAACAAATTTAAGTAAAAAAAGCAACGGAGATGAACGAAGTTGAAAACACTCCGTTAGAAAAGAGGAACAAGGAAGAACAAATTCGGGCAGCACTCCGGTTGAAAAGAAAAGGAATTGAATAAGAACTTGATAAGATGAGAAGATACTTGATGAAATCACAACACAATGCCTCCGGAACTATTGAATGAATGGAACAATGGGTAAGAAAGATCTCAGACAACACTCCGGTTGAAGGGTCGAACGGAGTAGTTGGAACACCAACAACGAAAAAGTGTAAGCTTGTAGTGGGCTTATGGAGAACATCTCAAAACTGAGTTGAAATTCTGCCACTAACGGAAAACAATGGATTTGAATTGATCTTTCTTATAAGCACTATAATAGCAACAATCCTTAGGGAAAGCTTTAGGTGAAATATAACCCAATATAACTCCAACGAAGAGGTTGATGGATTTAAAATACGCCATTCTTAACAACCTGTGAATCATGAAACATGAACTCAAATTATCAAGAATGACATAATACCACCTCCAATGATATGGAAGAAAGAATTGCACTCCGGATTGCAAGATGAAGAAACTTGAGCTCCTTTGAAAAGAATCTTGATGAACACTTCGAGAAGGAAATTAAATCCTTGATGAACCATCATGTAGAACCTTCATGAGGAACTCCGGTAATAAAACAATGATCAAACGAAAGGAAAGAGAAATTGAAAACACAAGGTGAATCCTTGCAATGATTAGATGGATCTTCGCGATGAAATAATTGAGAGAACTTGGAACTCCGGGAAAAGAATAGATAAAGCATCTCGAACCGAGAATTTGATGAGCCTCCGGAATAAAGAATTAATCATTTGGCTGAATCAAGAATAAGAATTATGTTATGCTCCTCCTTCATCAATCAAATTGATGACGAGCAAACAGATTGCATACAACTTATTCTCGAAGAAAGGATTAGGATAGATATGGCGCCAACTTTATAAGGTCTTCAACTAACCACCGGAAGGGTTGAAACGACAAATAAATTGATATGATAAAGAAGGAAGAGAAAACTCTTGAATGAACCACCGTAAGGATTGAAAAAGAACGAATAAAAGATAACGAATCACCGGGAAGAATTTGCAAATGAACAAAGATGCTTGAGAGAATCTAGATACATGAGAACGAAGGGATCATGAAATGATTAGAGATCACTTGAATGAAGCACCGGTAAGATTTGGAGAACCATAGCTGAAAGCTGAGAATGAATAAATCTTAGATGATGGGCTCCGGATAATCAAACTGAACAGAATCTTGAATTGCTCCGGATAGGTGAAAAGAATTCTCACAATCGAAAACAATTATGAGAGGATGGTATCAAGCTTGAACTACGCATCTCTGAGAGAATGGTTAAGATTTTGAAGAAAACTCTTCTTCGGTATTCAAAATCCGAGAATGACGATGAGAAACACCGCCATGAATTATTTAGACACTCCGGGAGAATCAAAAGCAAAGAGGTTGAGCCAACAATGGAAAAAAGAAAGATCTTGGAGAAAAGCATTTGACTGATGACAATTCATTCTTACGTCAAACTTCAAAAATAATTTTTTTTTGAGGATAGCTCCGGGAGAATTAGAAGAGTCAGGTAAGATCCTGGGAAAAGACCTGTGGGTTAGGACCCACTCAAAGAAACACCGTTGAAAAGGTCGCTTGGAAGATAGATTAGACCGGTTGAATTAAAAGACTTGAATGAGAGAACATCCTCGAAAGATCTTGAACGAATGCAGAGTGGAAACACGAATCTTTGAGATATCTTGAGCACTCTGGAACAATTGAATAGTGAGAAGTGGATGATTAAGAGGTGCATCGGCATGAGAAGGCATTTGAAATAAGGAAAAGAATATGATCAACACCGGAAGCTTGAATTGGTTCCACCGGAGAAGAAAGGGAATGAATAATGATGAACTTGAGGCTTCGTTAGTATCATTCTGAGAATCACCGGATAAGAACATTGAAGAAAAAAATGGAGAGACTTCACATGAATAAAATGGATACTTGATTAAGAAATCTGAATCCTTGAAGAAAAACAAGGGTGGGAGGGTGGGAAAAACAAAGACAACTTGGGATGGATGAAACGAACACCGTTGAGAAGAACTGATAATTGATCTTGCTGATATTGAAATGATCGGATCCACTTGAAGAGAAACACGCCGGATGAAAAGGATTGACATGACAATCTCGATTATCATGAAGGATTGGTATTCACATCGGAGTATGAGAACACCGGTTCGGAAAGGTATGGAATCAACACTTGACTTCGAAGCAACTTGAATACCACAACTGAAAACAAAACAAAGGATTGGCTTGCGAAATAAGCCGGAACAAACATATGATAGAGATTTCATCCGAAGTTATCGTGGTGGGGCCTACACGGGCTCGATCGTACAGCACCATCATGTACAAGGCAGTGCACATGACATATGAAGCGTACCCGAGTCAGCATAGCCAAGGACTCTTTAAGACACAACGAGACCACTGTAAAACCAACCGTGGATAGGCGGACCACTAGACGTCGAACCCCAATCTCATATCATACATCTGTCGGAAAAGATATCCTAAGAGCTACTTGAATTCCCACTTATAAACTCCCGAAATTTTCTGGTTATACAATCAGGTGTTGGGGATACATGGGAAGCATAGTATCTCACCCAAAACTAGCAAATCCTACATCCAGTTGTATCCATCCTTCAACACATAACCAAGAAGCCTTCGGAAATCATTTACCTCAACCTTCAAAAAGCATCCGTTATACGAGTTATGGCAATACTCCCAAGCTCCCGCCCCAGTACTGGGTGGCGTCAAGGTTATCTCACCAACAACTGCATAAAAGAGATTTTCGATGTCGGCGAAACTCAGGTATTCCAGAACTGCAACGATAAAATTGTGACGACAACACCTCGGAGCTCAACACCCCGGGATACTGCCACAACCCCTAAATGTCACGAGGCACCAAGAACAATGTTCTCATCACAAAACCATCGGAACAATTCCAAGATACCCGCGTGATCCTAAAAAAATTTAGTGAAATTTGAGAAGAGAAGAGTCAAAACTCTACGTCAGGATGCCTCACCAGAGCGAGAAGGGACCGAGGAGTAAAAAGAATCCTACTCTCCGATATATATAATTCCTAAATGACTCAAAACATTTTTATAGACTCAACAACGCCAGTGATTCGATCAAGCAGGGGGCTCCTAAAGTCGGGGAAGGCTCTGATTACCAACTTGTAACACCCTCGATGCGGCTATATCTCCCATGTGTCGAAGCACAACTTAGAGGCATAACCGCATTGAAAGCAATGTCGCAAGTGGGGTAATCTTCACAACAACCATGTAATAAATAAGGGGAAAAGATACATAGTTGGCTTACAATCGCCACTTCACACAATACATGAATAAAGCATTACATCATCCAAATACAATCAAGGTCCGACTACGGAACCAAAATAAAAGAAGACTACCCCAAATGCTACACAGATCCCCGATCGTCCCAACTGGGCTCCACTACTGATCAACTGAAACGAAACAACACTACCAACAAGGTCTTCATCAAACTCCTCCTTGAGCTCGGTTGCATCACTCGCACGGTTACATCGGCACCTGCAAACTGGTTTTGGAAATATCTGTGAGTCACGGGGACTCAGCAATCTCACACCCTCGCGATCAAGACTATTTAAGCTTATAGGTAGGGTAAAAAGGTATGAGGTGGAGCTGCAGCAAGCGACTAGCATATTTGGTGGCTAACATACGCAAATGAGAGCGAGAAGAGAAGGCAAAAGCACGGTCGAACAACTATGATCAAGAAGTGATCCTAGAACAACCTACGCCAAT